AAACACTCCGAAGATGGCAGGGCACCCATGAAGCCAAGGCTCTTCCAATGTGCCATCCTTGGGCGTGCAGACCCCAGTGGGGTAAATGGGTCACATGCCCAGCTGCTTATCACAAGGTTGGAGATTCTACTTAAAAAAAGGAACAAAATGAAAGCCATTGAAAACGCTGTGGAACAGAGGTCTACTCTGATACCATGGGGTCTCTGTGAGTTGAAATGAACTGCATGGCCAACTGTAGTTGGGCCAGTGTGAATGGTGAATGCGGGAGATTAAAAGATCACATCTGCCCAGGGGCACCTTGGAAGAAAAGCCTGGTAATCTAATTCTAAAAACAAGAATAGTAAACACACGTGCGCGCGCACACACACACAGAGGTTCCTGAGTCGGAACCAGTTCCACAGCAGCTGATTCACCACTGATCACACTTGAACCAGCAGGTTCAGCAGCACCCATTTGTGGGAAATGCAAATTCTCAGCCTCCTTCTCTTCCCTCCCCATCCAGAACTATTGATTCTGGTCCTCTGGGCTTGGAGTGCCACCCTCAGCCTTTCCACCAGCCCTCCCTCCGATTCTGATTCCAGCTCGTTTGACCACAAGCTGCCTGCTGCAGTCGTTAAAAGTGAGGTGTGTGGCGCCCCACTGTCTGGGCTGGAATCCCAGCTAAGGCAACACAGAGCTCTTTTAGCTTCATCTAGACTCTGCCAGCCGATAATAACATGATCTATCTCTCCAAGGCATTAGGGGGATTAAATGCACTAATGAGCATAGAAAGCCTGAACTCAGGACTGACATATACTAATTGCTTTATAACTGTGAGTCCTAGTGGTCATTGCGTGTGTGCTACTGCTAGTAACTACGGAGAGAACCTCCGGCCGCTCCACAGGAGAAAGATGAGGCTCTCAACTCCCATCAAGAACCACAGTCTCAGAAACCCACAGGTGCAGTTCTACCCTGCCCTGTAGGGTCACTGTGAGTCGGCGTCAGCTGGATGGCATGGAATTGGGGTTTTTACTCCATTCCAGCCATGCGAAAGCCACTGAGTTTGCAGTGGGCATTTCATTTTGGGACACTGGTCTACCATTTGACTGCCTCCATTTCGCACGGTAAACCAAGATGATCAGGTGGGACCCTCACTTTTCACTCACCCTCTCACCTGTTCCTGGCCCAAGATGTCCGAAGTCCCCCTTGGTACAAACAAGCAGTGCATATTGGGGTGCTCTGTTATGCTGGGGGCCATCAATTAGTCGTGGTACCCCAGGTGGCCGGGCAGAACTGCCCCAGAGGGACTTCCAGGTCAGCATCTTCTAGGACCAGGTCTTTGCAACTTGTGGGTGAGTTTGAACGCTGTGGTTTGAGACCACCCCCTCCCCGCCCTGCTACTGAGTCACTTCTGACTCATAGTGATCCCATAGGTCAGGGTAGAACAGCCCCTTAATAACAGGCCTTTCATCTTTTTTCTCCGCAACCGCTGGTGCAGCCCAGTGGCACCTAGAATGCTTTCTTTCCTCTCTCCGCTGTGTGTCTCTTGCCCTGAAGACTCCCTCCCTGAAAGTTCTCTTGTGCACAGCTTAGAGGGGCAGACAGGCTCCATGCCCGAGCCTCACACAGACTCTGCCTCTTGCTTCATCTTCCGCATTCCTTCGCCCTAATCTTTGTGAACCAGTGTCCATCGTCCACTCACAGTGCCCGTGATCTCACCCTCTGCCAGGCCAATAACAGCTGAAATTTCACACCTACATGCATTGCTTTGTAACTATGCCCTGCCCCCGCCCCCATCTCTCTGATCCATCTGTGACGACAGGTTCTTGAGTGGATTTGCCCATCCTCAGATCCATGCCTTGGCCTGGTGGTTGGGCTAGAGGAAGTTACTGTGAGCTTTACACCTGGTTGGCTTTCGTCCAGACTGCTGGACACACTGTCCCAATTCCGAGTGCTGGGGTTGAAGCTTACTTCCCTCCTGCTCAAACGCATTGCCTTCCAGTCAACACCAACTCATAGCAACCCGCTCAGGGGTAGGTAGATCTGTCCCCTGTGGGTAGGCAAGGTGTAACACTTTACAGGAGTAGAAAACTCATCTTTTAAAAAAATCCAAATCCGTTTCATTGGCACATTGTCCATACATATAATTCAATAGTTCAATCATATCAAGAAGAGTTGTATGGTCATCACCACAATCAGGTTTAGAACATTTTCTTCATGTGTTTACTCATATTATTAGCTCCCTATTTCCCTCCAGCTGCCCGCCATATCTCC